GGGGTGAGGTAGGGGGAGGGATAAATCAGGAGTTCAAGATTTGCAGATACTAACTACTATATATATGAAATAGATAACCAGCAAGTTTCTACTAGATAGCACCGGGAACTATATTTAAAATCTTATAGTAACCTATAATGAAAAAGAATAAGAAAATGAATATATGTATTATATGTGTGACTGAAACATTATGCTGTAAGCCAGAAATTGACATAACATTGTAAACTGACTATACATCAATAAAAAATAGACAAAAAACTACTAGAATTAATAAGTGGGTTTATTATGTTTAGTTTGGTGATGTTGGTATTATGTAAGTTCAATTATATAAAATCAATTATATTTTTATACATTAGGAACAAACATTCAGGATCTGACACTATAAAAATACCATTTATAATAACATCAACAGATGTGAAATATTTAGGACTAAATATGTAAGATATGTATATGAAAATGTCAAAAATTCCCACAGAAATTAAAGAAAACCCAAATAGAGAGCTATACCATGGTCATGGATCAGAAGATTTAATTTCTTTCTAATATATCTCTACATTCAACACAATTCCAAATGAGAACACAGTAGAATTTTCCTTGTAGAAATTGGCAAGCTGCTTCTAAAACTAATTAGTAATTTCACCCAATTCATATATAGTAAGCGACTACTCCAAAGGATCACTCTAAGAACTATAGGGGAAGCTATCCCAATTAGTAATATCAGTCATGGATGAAACAATGCACTTGTTTTCAAATATTTAGAAGTATTTGCTATCTCCTTCAATCACTACAACAACTCTCTGAAAAACTCATTTTCTAAATGAATCGATGAAGAGCTAGTTTAGATGACTTTCCCAGCATCAGTCAGTGCCCACTTAAGATGAGGCAGAGCTAAGAAGTGTATCTGACTGTGACCTGTGAATCTCAAGTGCTATCTTCATTTCTTTTCTCAAGCAACTTTCGTTTGACGAGGGAACAACAAATAAAAGTTATAGGAAAGGTGGAAACAAAAAGCCATGGTTCTCAGAAGGGGATCTCACTACGGGGGAGGTAAAAGAGAGTGTTTTAAGAAGGAGTTAAATTTTTAGTTGAATCTTGAATTGTTTCAACAGTTAGATCTAGAAGAAAGAGACACTGAAGTTGGAAGGGAACTACAGGAGAGGAGACACAGAGGTGATAAATGCAGAACAGACCTGCGGAAATCACATTTAACTCGCCGATCTTAACGGCTTAGGTCTATGCCCAGAAAGGCAGATTAGAACCCATCTCTGAGGTCATTAAACACGAAGGTGAGAGCCCTTTGTCTATTTTATTAGGTTTGAGTGGAAGAAAGGTGTGGTCTTTGGAGGTTTTGTGTAACTCCAAAGTTACACAAAAGCTTTGTTTAAGAAGATTGACAATGGCAGTTGAATACAGGCTGCAATAAAGCAATCAGTCAGGAGGGGTATTAAGAGGCTGAACTTTGATGATGGTGTTGAAAATGGAGTTGAAGGGGTAATACAGCCAGTGTAATGTGTTTGTATCAGAAGTAAATGTGCTACCAGAGATCATTTTATTTGTTGAGAGAGAATATAAGATTTTACTGGGTGACTGTTATTCTTCAAGAGTTCCTAAAGTTAAATTCTGATGACGAAAAATTTTGCTGTTGTAGACAGGAAAAGTAACTTGTTGAAGCAGAGTAATTTAGTGTTTTAAAGAGTATGTAACTTGATTATCATCTATCTATCTATCTATCTATCTATCTATCTATCTATCTATCTATCTATCTATCAATGTATCTTCTATCGGCTATCTATTTATCTTCCATCTAGCCTAACTGCCATCATCTATCATCTGCCTTTAGCCTATCAGTTAAGGGCTGAACTTGGTGCTAGACAGATCTCGTTTTCCCTCAAATTTACAACATGAGCTTGAGCAAAATTCCTTCACTGTGTTAAGCCTAAATTTCTTCTTATGTAAAATGGGGACATTAATGGTACCTTTCAAACAAAGTCATTATGATTGAATAAAATACTATACGTACAGTAATTATCATAGTCTTTTGTCACAGTTAGGACTAAAATTATGTGAACATGCAGAAATACGTATATTTTTAAATGTGTAAATACATTTGTAGATGGGCTATTGATTTTACTGTGTGTTCATTTGTTTGGGGGATTAATCACAGCACTGATGATGACAGATTTTTGAAAACATTATCCCGTGGGAAGAGTTAATGTTTCATGCCTTGTCAATTATTTTCCATTTCCTTTGGTGGTTACTTCTAGCTTGAAGCACCCCAGATTCCCCTGCGTCCTCCCTAGGATTCTCACTCAGGCACTTACCTTTTAATTGCTGTTGGTACCAACAGACCTTCCTGATTTATCCTTTTCATCACTGGGGTCAGGTTTTATTCTTGGACTTTATTCTCAACTACTTAATATGATAACTTTATGAATATATGAGTAGATTATGATTACTTAATAAATTAATCTTTCCAGATAATGGATGTATGTTGAATGACGTTAATAGTTTAAGCTAATGGCTTTCAAATTGGAGTATGCATCAGAATCACATGAGGGTAATAAAACCGTTTGTTGGGCCCAATAATTCTGATTTAGTAGGGCTGGAGTAGGACCCGAGAATATATATTTCTGGAAAAGTTCCCAGGTGGTGCTGATGCTGTGGTGAAGGGACCACACCTTGAGAACCCCTGTCTTCAACAAAAGGGATGCAATTAGAAGGATTTTCAAGCATCACAGCTAAGATACTGGAGGAGACATTGGTGGTAAGAGAGACTTTCCAGTAGTGCTTCATGAAAGTAGGTAGGCAAACCTTAGCAGTCTTTGACTCCTACTGTTAACAGCTAAATTTTTTGTGTGCCTTTATTTTTTCACCATCTAGGTGTCTGTTGCAGATTCAACTGACTACAAAGATATATATTTTATATTAGAGAGCTTGGAAGATTTTTTTTTTCCACTTTAGTTAGCCACTGGTTTCTTTACCCCCACAGAAATTGGTTTGTGCATACTACACTAACTTCTCAAATTCACGTGCAGGAGCAATCTACTGCCTATTTCTAACACATTTTATTTAGATGTCTATTAGCTTTCTAAAGGTCTGAAAAAACTAAAGATAACCCCTGTCTTCTTGGGCTGCCTCAGTGATCAGTCTGCTGCCACTAGGCTGGTAAGGACGACAATGGCCACTTTCATAACTTTGGCAATGGTATCACTGCCTCAGATAGCTCCTGACCTACATCCCAAACCTTGGGGCTAGTTATTTTGAGAGTCTACGGTGAATATGGATGAAATGAAAGGAAAATGCATGTCCAGTATTATGGGGTTGCCTTAGTAAACTGAATGGTCCAGATGATTCCATTTGTATGAAATTGTCCACACCATAACTTTAATTTTCTACTTTACTTTGCATACGTAAGTTTGGCTAAAATCCAGCTGAGTTCCTGAGGATAACCAGCAGGAGTATGTTGTCACAATTGGCAATTGCATGGAAATTCATGTTTTGAAAAGTGAATATGCACAGGTAACAAAAACTATGTATACTACAGTACTCATGTGAGCCGATTATAAATAATTGGCCAAATTGTACTGAACTTTTCTTTCCAAAATTCTCCTCGTGTTGAGTTCTGATCCAACACAGGCTTAGCTTCTAGCCTCCTTTGATCTCTGAGAGCCTTTTGAAAATAGTTCATACACAGATATTTGTCACACTTGCCACACACTTTCATCTTCTCTTCCTGCCATATCTCCACTGTCTCTGCAGCAAACTACTGTGTCTCACCAATCAATTCTCCTTCTGAAATATCTCTTTATATCTATGAAACTTCATTTGTGTCTTTGATATTATGATGTGCTCTCTTGATGCAGATCTGTGTTTTGCCACAATTTGTCATTTTAAAATGAGCTTCTTGAATAGTCTCAGCTTAGCTTCAGATTTTCTTCAATGTTTGAATTTAATTTCCTATCCATTGTCTTACCTGTCTGAAGCCTGTTAGATAGGTTAAAAATAAGTGATTTAAAATAGACGGCTATTAGATTTAGATGCACATTCTCACCTGGCCTTTTACCCTCTTTCGCCTTCCCTACTTTTTCCCCCTCTAAATCCAGTCCGTTTGCATGGGCGGTGTTTCACTGCACCTGAGTCCTTCCTGTGCTTCTCTCTTCTGCGTCTTTTCCTTGATGTAATAAACTGACGGTGACTGTTAACAGCAGAGATGGAAACACCACTTTTCTCTTTTTCATTCCACTCCACAGTTTCTTTAAGCAAAGGAAATGATTGCCTCATTAGCCCTTTGTGGAAATGGCCTGAAATCATCTAAGGAAGACAGAGCTGGAGGATTCATTGTCCTGCTGGAAATGTTAGCGCCATTCGTGATCTACAGTTGATAATATTAACAATGTCAGGACAGGTGGTTTGAAGTATCTTGAGTCTTACAAACTTGTTCCTCTTTTGTCACAATTTTCACCCCCCAAGGGCTTATATAAACATATGCTGAAGTTTCATAGTGAAGTATAAAAATAAAGATATTGCGATAATTTCAAAGAAAAAGAAAAATCTTGAATTGAATTGAATTGATTGTTTAGGAAACTTGGTGACTAGAAGGAGATGGAAAAGGATTTTGGTTGAGAGTTTTGGTGGAAGGATCTATGTTGAAGCAGGAAGGGGGATTAGGAAGAATGTAAATTTATTATGGGGTTTTAGTTCTCTGGCCAATCCTCATGGCTCTTTATATAAGAATCTGAAAAAGACGTTTTCATACAAAAATCTCTGTATGAGACTTCGGTGGTGAAAGAAGCTGGTCTTTGGTATGTAGGGGACTAGGGGTATGGTGAGTGAGGTACTGCATGCATCAATGAAAGGGGGAGACAAAAACTGAGTCATCAAGATACATAATATTTTAATAGGATATATTAAAAATGAAATATTAATGCAAAAGTCCATGATAGACAAAATATCAAAATTCTAAATAATAATTGGATCAATACTAATTTTTTTTCTTTTGCTGTAAGCTCCTTTAGGCTCTACACAGCACTGACAGAGATTATTGCGTCAAAGTGCGGTATAAAAATTTGCACATATATTTGCGTGTGTGTTGAGTGGGGTGAGGAGTTCTACTTTAGCAAGAAGTTTCACAAGAGTGGAGAACTGAGACAATACGACTACAGATTCCATCAACTGGAAACAACTCTATTGAAGGAAACAAAAACCATTACCTTCGGGAGAATATTTCTATCTTTTGTGGGGCAGCACCATCAAAGAAGCTAAAGATAAAGGCAACAAAAATGATCTACCTGAGAGTAATTTTTTAGGACCGCTGGCTGGGACATTTTGAAATACAGGACATTGAAGAAATATCCACGGAGAAAGCTCAGTGGTCCTGGGTGTCCTTGGGGAGAGAGACAGTAGGCAAGAGATACAAGTGCTGCTTTTACTTCTTTTGGGTAAATTCTTCGCACCAAATGATCTCAAAAGCAGGGGTAGGCTTAGAGAACAGAGAAAATGGAAGAGCCAAAACGAACATCATCATCAATCTTTATCGGGAAATGAGTATGTGAACATCACTGTGTATTTTAAGTGATGATTCCACAGGCATGGGCACGTCATGACACCATTCCATTACATATAATGTGTTCTTTTGGGTGTATTTTCTGTAATAACTTCAAATGCCAAATAACGTTTTAAAATTGAAAACAAACAAACAAAAAAACAACACGAGGGGTGATTTTATAGAACAATTGTAGGAAAACTAGAGACAGCTGAAGACGTAATATAATATTAGTAGCGAAAAGTAATTACATTTTTAGTTGTCTTGCTTTAGTTATTTTTGAACAAAGAACACCAGGTTAATGGTTTTCGTAGCTACACATATTTGAAATACAGTTACTGTTTACTTAGAAAACTAGAAAGCTTAATAAACAAGATAATACGCGGTATTCTTCACATTTACTTTGAATGAGATATGTATGCTTGGCAACATTGTCAGAACAACTCCCTGGAGTTATCACACAGAATGTTCTAGAAAGAGCACTGACTTAGAAATTCGAAGATGGTATATTATACTTTCCCTGAAGAGAAAATATACTAGTCCCTGCTTCATAACATAAATTATTATGACATTATTGTTGCTTCACAATTTCTGTTTGCTGATTTCACTTGCAAGTAATGTCAGGTACGGGAGAACCTCATAGTTCAGTTTATCCTTTAATGTCTCTTGGACTTTGTTTCAGAAATTTGGGGGCTACTTCCTCAGCTCAGTATATTTTGACACTTTGAACAAAATATTGAGGGCTTAAAATATGTTAAATACCTCGCTGGGTAGGAGATACATAAATATTAATAAGACATATTCTTTACCCTTAGAAGCTCATATTCTCTTGAGGAAAGATGGAATACTAAAGTCGGAATTATAATTCACTGTACGAGTTATGACAATAAGATATGCAATGACACTGAAGCATAGAAGGAACATTTGATTCTTTCAGGCTAGTGATAGTCAAAGAAGTTTTTCCACGTAAGATGACTCATGAAAAAAAAGGTCGAAGTGTTCCAGGCAGGCAAGGTGGGAAAGGCACTCTGGGAAGAGGCAGGAGGGGAATATCCATGCTTAACGATGCTGAGCTCTGTGGGACCACATGTGTGTGGGTAATTCCAGGTCTGACTAGACACATAACTGGAAGAGATGCTCTGTTCCTCTTTACTGTGAACTAAAACTACTTTCCTGTTGCTTCCTTCAGTGGACACTGCACACCATTGCATATATCACTGGGACAGGGTGGAGGGTCAAGTTTGCTGCTCCCTGGCTCCCTACTGAAACTTCCTGTTCATTATCCTTCCATCTGTGTGGAAAATTACATCCCCCTTTGATACTGATGTCATCTGGCTAAGTCACCCTCTATACCTTCTCCTTGTTTTTGCCCGTTGACTTCCGTTGTCTCCCTCTCCACCACGGTCACATCCGGCTCACAGCCA